CAGGTGATGATCATTGGCATGAACTTGAAAGGGGCCTGCTTGTGATATCTTAAACATACAATAAGATATGGGATTCACTACTCTAGGCACCCAACTATGCTTAAGGGATATAGTGACTTAAACTAGATATCTGATGTTAATGAGCTCTACGCCACAAGTAGGTATGTGTTTACTCTTGCACGTGGCGCAGTGTCATGGAGGTCATGCAAACAGACCATTTTGATGAGGTCAACCATGGAAGCAAAACTTACTGCTTTGGATGCAACTGTTGCATAGGTTGAAAAACGCTTAAAGTCTATCCGGAAAACCAATAACGGCTATCCTTATGAACATTGACAACCAAATGATGATTGTCAAGGTGAATAGTACTAACAATAACTGGAAGTCAACTAGATGCATTAAAAGGCGCTTAAAGTCTATCAAAAAATTAAATTAAGAAACTCCAGAGTAAAGTTGTGGCTTATGTTCAAACGGACAAAAACCTTTTAGATCCCTTTACAAAAGGGCTATCATGAAATGTGATAGAAAATGCGTCATAGGTTATGGGTATGAAACCCATGTGAGTTTACAGTAAGATGGGTATGAGACCCATATGAGTTCATAGTAGTATTAACCCAACCTTTTTTATGGGAGATCTCGTGACTAAGGACCTATGAAGAACAAGCTATTGATAAACTAGAGAGAGTAATCTATAACCCTATCTAAGTGAAGATGCAATACTCTCAAAGCTATAAGGCAGGTTGGCGACATGCCTTAGTGTGTTCTGTTGGTTTTAACAAGTGAAGATGTTGTCCTAATATGACACTTGGGTGATCTCCGGTAAGCTCTTGAAGAGACCGAGGAGTATGATGTATATGCTCCACCCGTAGGGTAGGCTATGGGCAGTCAAGTACTAGTTTGATTTTGAGTGAAGCTTGTTCACACAAAACTTGCAATTCAAGGCATAGTCCATTGTTCAAGTTCTTAATGGGTGTAGCTTGAAACTCTAGGTGGATGTTCAACTTAACAGTCTCTGTTGAAGCACTGATATATAAACAATAGTGGGAGAAGAGAAATATCTATACTAGGCATTCGAGATTTGATTGTGGGGTTGTTAGAATTTATATGGTCTAGTTCCCCTAAGCCCATATGCATAAATTCTAATAAATCTCAATGGCCCACAACCTGTGTTCCCTAATGGGCTTTAATGTTTAAGCCCATGAGCAGAGGTAGAAGGTGAAACATCAATTCGTACAGTATTGCTAGTTTGATGTGGAGGTAGGGGTTTTCGTCCATATATATATGCCAATCCCTACTACGAACGACACAATAGAACTACTATTGGAGAGTTCCTAGTTTGGAAAATCCTAAGGTAGTCAATTAGTTTTTCCTCTTCTTGCTACTGCGCTAACGTCGTAGCTTCTCTATCCTGAGCGTCTACGTGCACCGGTGTTGATGAAGAAGTTTCTTGGGAAGTGCTCTCACATGACTCCTCCCAACTTCCATGATGTCTCATCTTCCAAATGCTGAGTCGGGACGTCACCTCTACCACCAGTAGATTCATCGCATCCTCAATGGCAACGTTCCTCCACTGCTAATGGACGATCTTACATCACCACCAGTTTCACCGATGATGGATCTATCTGCAAACAAAAGGAATGCAAGCCATGATCTGATGATTTGCTATTCCAGCATGTCTACTGTTGTGACCATGTTGTTGTTTGCATAGTTGATGTTTGGTTCAACTAGTATGTTAGGTTTATACATAGTATCTGATACTCTGTCATGATCTATATTCTAGAATTAACCATGAAATTTCCTAATATTTCAACAAGATGCTCAGTCAATTCATGGTGACTAACTTAATGATAAGTCACTCGAGTGCAACAAATAATTTCACCATCAATATGATACAAGCGTGAATGACACAATTATACTTCTTATAATATCAATGTGGCACACACAAGAAATCTGATGGCTTTTTCACATGACCAGCATTTGGATGTATTGTTGAATTCATCACTAGCCATTTCTATATTTCATTCACATGTTGATGAAAATATCTATATCCCATGAGTTCATTTAAATCAAATATTAATTTATGCAAATACTTTTGGGCGTGAATATTGAAGCCATGCAGAAACCATTACAAAATCTCATCCAACACCTATGGTATGACTCTATATCCACATCGCATCTCTCATTCTCCCATGGTACCAGTGCTGTTGAGGGATACACCTAACAAGACGAATATGACCAGCTATGCCATCGACTACGCTTACTCGAGCACACCCACGATGTGGTCACTTGAGCTGGTCACACCATCTTCGACCACGTCATTGAACAACGACCACTCGAGCATGTCGTCGATGGGTTCCCTCAACCTAGTCATGCCGCTCTCGACCACGTCATCGACTACGACCGCTCAGCACAACGCCGATAGGCTCCCTCGAGCCAGTTATATTGTTGTCGACTACAACTACTCAGGCACGTCACTAGAAAAATGTGCGATTTCTTGACGCTTCACTTATGTCATAACATAGGCAATTTCCCTCCATAAATGCATTTTAGGATGCTAGGTTGATGAAAATCCAAATGTCAAGAAATGAGCGTCGCAAAATGCATTTTATGACGCTAGCATACCACTGTTGCAGACTTATGACATTGGTTTTGTACATCATAATAGCATATGACATTAGGTTTTGTATGTCATAACGGTCCTTTGACATTTGGCTTTTACGTCAAAGAAGTTTATGATAATAAGGTTTATATCACAGCAACTCATACCATACCATGCACTATGCTAACGTGGCGAGTGTTGAAACACATCATAAATTGAATTCGGCTTGTTAAGGCCCATATGAGAAGCAGGCTTCTAAAAGGCGACAAGTGCCATAAAAGTACAACTCGGCCTGTTAAGGCCCATTTGAGAGACAGGCTTCTAAAACGCCACAAAATGTCATAAAAGTAAAGTTTGGCCTATTAAGGCCCATATGAGAGATAGGCTTTTTAAAGGCCACAAAAGTTTTTTTTTAATTTGCTTCCAAACTGGTAAGGTTCAAGTTAAAACTTGCTAGATAACTACTTTTAACTTGTAACATATACAATAATTATTATACTAAAATATATTACATGTATCCCTGTGTTATTGTTTTTAAGGAATGGCGTATCCACGTGTGCGATACGTATCCAAGTGTTTATTAAACAAACAATTCATCTCTTCAAGGTTTTCTACCAACTAAGTGCTGTTACTATCACATATGGTGGCATAACGCAGTGGTTTAAGCGCACTGCCTGCACGAGTGTGGTCGTTGGGCCCCCGCGCGCTTGCTGGGCTGCGAAACCAGTGTTGTGCCATCACTGTTCCCTTGCATGAGCAGACGGACCTCCTAGGCCACACGTGCTCAGAAGAGCCTCAATGGCCGCTAGTGTGGCCTCCAGCTGGGTCACCTGTTTGCCACATGGCAGTGAAACTTGCCAATTTAGACAACAATGTTCAAAAAAATCAAAAAAACATTTGTGACGTAAAATTTGTCATAGGCATATGCCATTCGCAAATCAGCGTTATGACGCAGAAAATATCATCGTTGGATGCAATTGAACTAGCTGAATGACGTTCCTTGTGACTCTTTTTTCGTCACTAGGGAGGAGTTCTGATGGAAAAACGTCATAAAATCGGCCATCTAACAATGATGTGACATATTGTCACTAGCATATCATTGTAAATCGCGTGCTCAGAAGAGCCTCAATGGCCGCTAGCCTGGCCTCCAGCTGGGTCACCTGTTTGCCACATGGCAGTGAAACTTGCCAATTTAGACAACAATGTTCAAAAAATCAAAAAAACATTTGTGATGTAAAATTTGTCATAGGCATATGCCATTCGCAAATCAGCGTTATGACGCAGAAAATATCATCGTTGGATGCAATTGAACTAGCTGAATGACGTTCCTTGTGACTCTTTTTTCCGTCACTAGGGAGGAGTTCTGATGGAAAAATGTCATAAAATCGGCCATCTAACAATGATGTGACATATTGTCACTAGCATATCATTGTAAAATGAAGAATGTCTTGTAGTGACGATGCCAATTCCCCGAGATGGTCACATCATCTGTACTCACTCGAAGAAGAAGACGACGACTTCGAGATTACCCTCTGACCAATTCTCCAAATCGCTTGGAGGCTCAGGAGCTAGACCCACTAGGTCCGCTCATGGGAACCCAGTTGACTACGACAATAAAAGATAACTCGAATGTAGAAAGGGTGCAGAAGATGAGGAGGATTGGATTCCCTGCTCTAGTACATCCTTATCTTGAATAGGACTTCATGAAGAGAGATGTAAGCAGGACTGAAGATCGCACCTTCAGTGGAGTGACAGAGCTATCGATTAGCTTGGCATAAAGCCCTTTAGGGGCTACTGTCAATGTATGGACCTAGGGTACCTCGCTACCTAGAAAAGAGCCCAACTAGGATAGGGATGGTTAGGCCCATCGAAGTAGAGGCCCATCCAGGCGGGGTATGCCATCTACTTGGAGGACAAGGCATATCAAGATGTACTTAGAAACCAACTCTATCCGATAGATTTCCTTCTAACGAACAAAAAAGCCTTTGTGTAATTAAATCAGGACTCTATCCGTGATCCTACTCAGACTATAAAGCGGGGTAGGGAGCCCCCGACCAACAACTTCTTCCAACTAAAGGTTCCGTGGCTAGACAAACACATCAGCGCCCCTATGACCCCGAGCATCAAACTTACTTAGTAAGAAACATCATTCCACAGATAAGTTTCTAAATTAAAATAGGGTACACCACGTAATTTGAAAGAGATACATAAAAGTGTATTATTAAAACATGAAGCACCACAATCACCGAACATCTATGCTTCATGGATCCTCAAAATTACAAATAAATTATTCTTAGGACATTGCCTAAAGTCATCAGATTATTGACTACTGAAAAACACTCATATAACTTGGTACCAAAATAACCATAGCATTTGCCCTCCATATTCTTTCTGCACCAGTTTAAGCAATAGATTTAGCTTCCTTTTTCTTAACCTTGCTGTGGTGGCTCATGTGTCCACCAAATGCTTGTGCTGAGGAGAATTTTGCAGAGCAGATCTTGCACACATATTCAAGTCGGCCTCTTTCATTTTCCATTGTATAGTGTGACATTCTCTGTATAATATTCTCATAAGAGCCAACAACTTCCCTCGTCGACAGCAACGGTTCACTTTGCACATGAGTAGGTTGCTCAAAAACTGGGCCAAGGTCTACCTCTTTGATGGTATTAAAGTGTGCATGGAGAACCGCAAGAGGATTACCTTGGACCAAGCATGTGACTGGTGGTGGATCCATAGACTTAATCCTCATAGGATCAGATAAGCTGAGGTAATCACTTACTTGCATTGTTACAAAGTCTCGCTCTGACATGAATGTATTCTGATGGATGCTTGACGAGCTCGCTGAGAGCCTAGAATGAAATGCACCGGAGAAGATTGGTTCTCCATTGGTAGCAGTTGTATGATTATAGAGTGATGGCAGTGATGCCGGTGGCGTCGGTTGGTATGGGTAGATGAAATTGTCATTCATCGACATATTGGTAGGTTCTTGTGGGGTGTGGACAATAGTTTGGTTGTGTAATGTTGAACCTAGGACGGGCATTGCTGTTGTGCCTCTCAACGCTTCATGCAGGGGAGAAACAAAGGGCTCATTGTCTATTGGTTTGATATCCTTGTGGGCATCCATGACTCTTGGGTGCTTTGTATCCATGTGGAAGGTAGTCTACATACCTATTTATAGGGGTTCTAGGAATGCTGGTACTCAAACTTTTATCAGTTGATATCTAGAATATATGTGGCTAGTAGACGCCATGCCCAGATACACAAAATTAATGTCCCTCATTTACCTACTCGATCTTTAAAGATTGTATTTGCTAATGAGAACAAGCATGAGTTGCGAAAGTTGGTTTTCTGGAGTATTATATTGAGGTTGTGTCGAAACCGTATCACAATGCGTAATCTTTTTATTAATTAATTTACCATCTAGAAGATACGACTATTTCTCTTCTTTGAGTAGACATTTATGAAATAATAAGCTAGAAGATATGAATTCTAAAATAGAAAATCTTTCACCTACCATGAGTGATTGCTTCCTAGCTGTCCATGTAGCAACCATAAGAACCATAGCCTTTTGGTGCTACACATGTTGCGATTGACGGAGTCATTAGATTGCACCGATGAAAGGTGATCAACCAAGATTTACTACACACAAATTTGATCAACGGCTTGCATACATTAGACAATGACATTTGCTCAACATGCACCTTTTTGCACACAAGGAGAGATATGATCCCAACATAAAAATGGTCTTGACTTCCAATGATCCATGTAAAGCATAGCCTTAAGATTTTAGGCCCTTTTTGTATACAAAGTATTTTTGGAGTTATAGAAAAATACCATGGTTTTGTAAAATACTTTGGTTTTAGAGTGCCATGAAGTGTTTGGGTGCAACAAACTTTATGGTTTTGAATACCATGGTATTGCTGAAACTGTGGTCTTTTTGGTGTTTTAAAAACTCCACTCTAGACCTCTTTTTCCTAAACCTCGGTTTTTGCACATCAATGGTTCTAAAACTATAGTTTCTTGATACCATATGGTTTCTTAATACTACAACATCCAGACAAGGTCTTAGTATTTCTACATAGACAAATATTTTTTACAAAAACCTAGGGAAACATTGTCCTTGGCCTTGAATACCATTGGTGTTACAAGCATTTAAGGACACAAGAGGAAAATGGCCTAAGAAGTAAAGCTATAAGCCTAACATGTCCATCCAACTAGTCATATTGATCACAAATGGTAAAAATAAACTTTTAATTGTTTTATTGTATATGTTTTATGCCTCAATCAAAGCCATCTAAGGTGTAGGATTATTTTGAAGTCTACATCAACTAATGGTTAAGCAATTATCGAAAGGCAATATTAGTATTGATACATGGTTGTTGGTATTTCTTATGCTCAAGTAGATTATTCCACTAGCGCATATAATACCGTTGTAACATTTCACCTAGGAGTATTCTAGAATATCTTATCTATCCTCAGGGAAACAATGGTTAAAGAATATGATGTCTAACCATGATGTATCTACTAACTACTATACCAACTAAACCAAAGTGGACGTAGGTGATATACAATAAGATAGTGTGACACACAGAAGTTCCACTCAAGAAAGGTAAGGTGAAATCATAACTAAGTGGGAGGACAACGAGTGAGGGAGTTCCTAAGATCTTATTTATCACAAAGGTTCTTTAATTATTAGCTATAGCTTAGTGTAGCACCTGGTTTTAAGGACAAAACCAGATACACACCATATGTGAGCCTAGGAAGTCAAATCTCACATATAGCTACAAATAAAGGTAATATCAATAGACAATGCTTAATATATAATATACTTAGTATAAAGGATATAACCTTAGATAGCAAATAGCAGAAAGACAACTCTGATCTTCGGGTTAAGACTCTAATTCATAGGGATAACTGACTGGTTGATCACAAGCCTAACTCCTCAAAACTAGCAATCTAGTACCCATCCAGGATTTTTCCAAAGATTTAAAAAGTAAAGCAAGCATAAGTACATGTCATACTCAACAAATATAACATGGGGTTCGTGAGGCTCAAAAGGCTGACACTGGTTTAATTGCAATTAGCTTTTAATGAGTCATCTTTTAGCAATTGGGTGGCAACAAGTTTATTCACAAGCCCATATAAACACATGATCAAGTAAACATGAATAATGAACATCATAAACAGTAATCATTAGTGAGCATCTTTATCATCTATATTATCAGTGTTCATCATCATTAACCATTAATGATTATCTGTACTACCAAGGAAGGTCGGTAGGGTTCACTATGAAGCCTTTCAAAGGTTCGTCTAACAAGTTAGGGCTGCTAAGGTTTCCCCATCAATAAGCATGAACCCCCCTCCAAGGAGTGACTAACAAAATACCAAGAAACCAAAGTGCACCCTCTTGGTAGGCCGAGATCATACCTGTCAGAGCCCCTCTTGTGCCATAAAGGTAACCACTAACAAGTTAGAAAAGGTCCTCATACTGAGCTAAAGCCAGAGCCATGTAGCCCTCACAACTGTACTGTAAGTCCTGGATGTTCGTTTACAGATAAGTCCTTAGGGAGAGGAATCTAGAGCACCATAAAATAGCTCAATGCTCTAGCCCCCTTGCTCCATGTTGCTAAAAAGCATCTTTTAGTATTTATTGCATATTCCATTAGTCAAGTTACAAGATCATGGCTTTCGTTGAGCACTAGCATCATACTACCCAATGCAATAACCCATAGGAATCAAGGAATCTAGGATATCAAATAGCTAAGAAAATTACTATGGTTGCCAAGGTAGACACATGGATATAATTAAAATGATATTAAGGTGAATAGGATAACAAGGAAGATCCCATGCTATACTTGCCTTAAACTCAAATCCTTCTTCTATTGAATTGTAACCTCTAAAGGACTTCTTCTGGATCACCAACTTCTTTTATATCACCAATACAAAGCTCACCGACTGGACATGATCATAAAGCACCACACAAGCATTCATGCAATCATACACGAAGCAAACAATAGAAATAAATTAGAACAATACACCAAACATAATAAACAATAGGTACAAAGGTTTTAAAGATGTTCTACACATTACTACGAACACACAGACGCGAAAAGCACTCTAATCGGAGCTATAACGAAAAAGTTATGAACTAAACAAGATTTCATTTAATGAAATAATAGATTAAATTTTTAACCTCGAATTTTAAAAGTTGAAAATATATTTAATAGTAGTATAAATATATAGATTACACAATTACAAATCTAACGCAACTTGAATGGATCAAAACGGAGTTAAAACGGAGATTTTATGGCCTAAATAAGACTAGTGGCAAAACTGTAAATAGATGAAAGCGTATTTTGGATCTAACTGAAGAAACTACGTTTTCAAAAGAAGAAAATGTATTCTGAATCTAACAGAGGGATTTTATGCTTTCTGAAAGAGAAAACTTATTCTGAATCTACTAGAAAGAAACTACGCTTTCAGAATAGGAAAACATATTCTAGAAGTGCGCCCTGGACTACGGGTTATATTACGTGAAACTGTAGGGGCTCTTTTACAAATAAACCCAGCGAAGGGGTACGGGCGATCTTGGGCTGTTGGATTGAATCTAGACGGCCCAGATTAGAAAGGAGGGGGAGAGAGAGAGAGTCACCGGCCGAAGAAGAAAACTGGCGCGGCGGAGCTCCATTACCGGCGGCGAGAAGGTCCCCGGAGCGCTTGGTTTGGGCCCTAGAGGCTACGGTTTGATGAGCCGAGAGCACATGGGATAAGAGAAGAAGACAGCGAACTCACCTAGGGCCTTCTTGGGGTCATCGATGGATCTACGGCATCGGGCAGCGCGACGGCGACGGCGAGAGGAGGAGAAAAATCTAATTTACTACACGAGGGATTCACAAACTAGGAGCTCCCCTTACGATAGTTTTGGTGTGCTTTGCCCAAGGGGTTAGTACATATTTATAGGGAGAAAAACTTCCCACATCTACATTAACTAGCAATATGATACTAATTGATGTTGCACCCTCCATATTTACTAATGGACCTAAATAATCATTGAAGCCCATTAGTAAATAAATGCATGGGCCTTTGAGATTTATTAGGATTATTGCACATAGGCTTTGAGAGCTGTTTGGAAAATGAGATATATTATTTATTTTTAGAATTAAATAATTTCGCGAATAAATTAATTCTAGAAAAGTCCAGAATTGATATTTAAGCCACGAAAAATACTCCGAGACCTCCGAAAATTTGGGGAAAATTCCAAGAGACACTTTGGAACATGATGAACCCAAATAAAGTATTTGGATCTCATGAAAATATTGTTGGGAACATGGAACATAAAGATTAAGGTGAAGAAGGTAGGAATAAAGATTAAGGTGAAGAAGGTAGGAATTAAATTCCAGAAAGAAGCTAGAAAATTCCTAGAGATAGATATTCGTCTCTTAAACGTATTTTAAAAAAACACATTTTGCACATAGAAACACAAGATGTGATCGGCATGAATGCAACAAACACATTTCTACCTTAAGATAAATTTTAACCTAATGAAAATTTATTATTTCCCCATGTTTTCATGAGCATTAAAATACAAAATTAATTCAGTTTAGCTCTATTTCAAGAGAAGCAAATAACACAACTTAGCTATGATCACATAACAAGCATTTTGGCACCCTATTTCGGTCAACAATAACAAAAGATAACTTGTGTCGTTATAGTTCTGGGCCCTAAGCTTTAAGAACTTGCCCAAACATGTGGTGGACTATAGAGACTAGATGGGGCCATCACCACTCACTAGCTATGACACATCCAAGGAGAAAGCAACAAACATAGGTAAACTCTAGTATAAGCACCACGTTTACACTATCGAATACTACTATAGTTCCTAAAAGGAGATCAAACTAGAGCACTCAATCACGAACGGTGAACCCGTGCAATGGTGTGAACACTACTCATGATATACTAAACATTATACAACTAAGACTACACCAAAGCAACCAAAAGTACTACTACTGTAGAATGAGCAGTAACACTTACACTTGCATGATATAACAACAAAGAAGATGCTATTATATTGAATAGATAAAGTCCTACAAGGAAGTTAAGATACAAGAGTTTGCTAACCTTTCC